GAAACTGTTAATGATTTCCTCCCAAAGTCAGATTCTGCCTTTGATACAGACGTCGCCCCCACAAGTTTGTCGAGTGTGGCGAACTTCGCAATGCTAGCAGCGGTGGCCTTCTTCCTCGATAGTTAACATCCTCACACCTTTACAGAAAACAGTTAGACATTGAGTTGGGTGGTTATGTGCCAGTTTACTTGGACACAGCTTTCCGTCCATTTTATGGATGTGGGCACCGCAGAGTCGTGTTGGTTAGCGTGGCCATTGGTTCTTTATCTCGTCATGTCACAGAGAGAGAAAGAGAGAGAGAGGGATGCTGCGATCTGATGGGGCTGAAGATCTGGCAAGTAGCGGGTGGCCCCATAACATCTGAGAAACAGCCAGAATTGAATGATTAACCCTTTATAACCCAAGTACCATACAGGCCACCTACACGAGGAACTATTTGAATTTTCTCTCCAGCCCAAAGGTTGAGGAGTTACAGTAACGTGAATTGCACATGGTAACATGTAGGTGGAGCTGATTTTTCTGTCTTTGTTCAGACAGCAGTACCTTATGAGTGCTTTGTGCTGCTTCCATAAAACAAATATCCTCATAAACAGGAGTGCACATAAGTGGTCCGCAGGTGTGCATTCGCTGTCAAAATAAAAGATGCGTACCAGATAAGAAGTTGCAACGCGCATTTGCGTACATAAGATTTTCTGGAGGAGGACAGACATTTTTTTAGAGCTCTTAAAGATGTCGAAGAAGCTCTTTTAAGCAATTACTTTGGTGTTCCAAAGTAATTGCTTTGTCAGAAGGAGTCCGAACCGAAAAAGAAGCGCGTATTCTCAGAAAAGTGGTTGCACCTGTGGACCACTTATGTGCACTCCTGCCCATAAAGCTCATTTTCAATTTTTCTGAAACTGTTTTAATTTTGTAATTGTAAAATGAGCCGGGTGCCGGGCTGATGGTTTAAAAAAACAAAAGCAAAAACAATCAAAGGGGTTAACTCACAGTGGCTAATTGTCACTCCCATAATGATCTATTATATTAGACTAACCTTTGTCCAGTATCTGAGATAAACAGTCATTTGTGTATCGATTTCTCCTTTACATATTTAACCCTGATCTTTCTGCAGGTGTTCCACTGCGTGCACTTTGAGTGTCCGGCCCAGCTGGACACCGAGGTCAGTGAAGGCAGCCCGGGTTTGGATTCTTCTGATTCTGGAGCTACTACGCAGCAGCAACAGCAGCAGCGACCTCAACGACCTTCACGCACACACAGCCTGCTGCCCACCCAGCCCTCTTCCTCCTCATCCTCTTCCTCTTCCCATCATTAAGAACGTCCCCTTATTGGAAGATGTTGAGAGGAAGGAGAGTGGTGGGCGGGGGGGACCTCAGAACGCCATTTTGCACAGCCTTCATTGTTCAGACAGCACTGCTACAACAACACTGCTAAGGCGATCGTCTTTGTCATAATCCATAGTCCGTCTGTCATATGTGCAACATTAGAGACTGGTGTATTGGTAGCAACAGCATTTAGGGCTCCAGTCTTCCCAGTTTTGAAGCTCAACATTAGATATCATATCTCCTGCGTTTATATGAAGGTACTTTTTAGGAACTAAGACTCAAGTTTTATCCTTTAAAAAAAAAAATATGAAGGTGAAATCTTTCTCTAAAGGTTAGGCACACACTGAAACATGTTTATACTGTATTATCAAAGAGCAGTAAGTCCATGGTGGGGGGGTGGTATTTGAATTTTATGCATTAATCGTACGATTAATAATGAAAGTACTGTTGTTAAGCTATTTTTTTAAGAAACTGTCTTAAACTGACTCTACTCACTTTTCATACCATCACAACTAACAGAGTAGAAGTTGAGTATTTTTCAAACTTTGGAAGTAAATAGTTCAAAGGTCTGCCAAAGCTGTCGAGCTAATGCATTAGGTGACATTTCTATCCAAATGGCATTTAATCCAATTATCTATCTGCATATTAAGTAATAGCTGTGGAGTATTTGATAGCAGGCTTTGACACCCAATCTAAACTCTGCAGTGTGACCTTTTCTCTTTTTTTTTTTCTTTTTTTTTTTTTTTATAGCTAAAATTCATACCTCAATAATGATCTCACTAAAACGAACCAAGATTTAACTGAGTGTCTTAATTTAATATTTTAAGCACTTGAATAGGTTGGCGCACACACACGATTAGGGAAATCAATTAGCTTGGGGGGGAAATGGGACTTAGAGGACCAAATTTGGCTGCACTTGGGCTGCTGAAGTTTAACTTTATACTGTAGACACATGAGCAGCTTCCATCTGCACTTTATTTTACTCAAGTATACAGAAATAAGGGTTGTAGCTTGGGTCTTCTGACTGAAGTAGAGTACTGGAGTGCTGGATTTGGTATCTTGCTGTTTATGTTAAATTAATTTAAAATCTTTGTGGTTCTGGGTTGTTTTTGATTTCAGTTCTTTTTGCATTTTTTTTTTAATGAAGTGTCAGTGCTGTGTTTTCTTTGTGTCCTGATGTTGCACTTTTACGTTATTTAAAAAGAAGAAAAAAAATCATTTGTTGGAAACCCTTTGTTTGCTGTTACATAACCTGAAATACCTATCTACCTTAGGTGACTCACTGATGTTTCTGTAAGCTTTCTTTAACCATCCCAATACATTTAAGACAACTACCCATTAGTTTGATAAGTCTTCCTTAATAACTAGAGAACAAAAATAGGGCTTTGTTCAGGTTGTACTCTCCATACCTTATCTAACTTTATGTGTACTTTTACTTATTTTCACCATCAATGTGTGACTGCATCTCACTGCCTCGTGTTCAATGCCTGTTAAAAATGTGATTACGAAAAACAAAAACAACAAAAAAAGCCGATGTTGTTTGTTGATTTTTGTTTCTGTAAGAGGGTGACACACACACCTGCTAGTCAGAATCGCTGCTGTTACACACAGTGAAGCTCTTTGATTCAAGCAATACAATAAGTCCACCTTTGGTTTTAAGTATTGAGAGCTTTTGTTACACACCAAATGGTGCTGATTGATAATCGTGTAACATTAATAGGCCGGGCACTGATGCCCCACCAGCTTTGTGGGCAGTGTTAATGTGTACGGCTGCCTATGAAGATGTTATTGTCATAAAACTTTTTAAAATGTCATGTTTTGAAAATCAAAAGTTTTATTGTCTTGTTTTTCATAGTGAGAAAAGTTGCACTGTTTATTCCAGCAGGTAGGAAACTTGCATCCAAGGAGTTTTTACAGCTCGTAGGACCACAGACTCGGTTACTAACCAGTATATACACTTCTGTGAAACAGTACAAAGTCTTGAGACACCCCTCATTTGTTTATTTTGCTATGAAAGTAGGAAATAAAGCAATATAAGGTAAAAACGTAGTTTGTACAGTTCTAACCAGCATTAAAGTCAATATTTGGTGTGTCTAATATTTATTCTTTAACACATCCTGAACTCTCTTAGGCAACTTTCTTGTAATTTCTTTAAGTCTTCAAGAAAATTCTCTTGGCTTTTGGGGGGACATTGAAAGTTCTTCTTTCCGTTCTGTTCTCTGTCAAGATGATCATACACTGAGGTCCGGGCTCTGGGAAGGCCATCCCATCACTGATTGGGATCATTGTCATGCTGAAAAGTGGAGTCAATCAGTTGTTTTCCAGGTGATATTACATGGATCAAATTCTGACCATATTTTTCTGCGTTTAGAATTTCATCAGTTTTGATAATATCACCACTGGCTGAAATGCAGCCCCAAGCCATGACAGACTTTCCCCTATGTTTTACATAGGGGGTAATGGATAATTTAATAGATAATGTTGTAACTCTCTCCTGACCTTCCGTCACTCCATAAGGCTTGTATAATATGGCATACCTCAGCCTTTTCTCCATTTCCCATCCCTAGCAATGGTTTCTTGACAACAGCCCTTCAACAGATAATGTCTCTGATGAGGCTTTAGCAAACACACCCACACACAAATATATACGTATGTATGTATGTATGTATGTATATATATATATATATATATATTGCCAATCAAAATTTTCCTTGTTTCTTTGTTGTAGATTCATCTAAAGAAATGGGAAATTCTGATGTGTCTTTGCGACAGCCATGAGTGACACTAGTGCAACAGGTTGCTAGTATGATAATGATAAAATTTCAAACTGGTTCTTTGCTATGTTGTCATCTTTAGAGAGTCATTGTGTTTTAATGAGTCATGGGTTGGTGTTAAGCTTGAAAAAACAGAAACAAAACATTCCTTTTAAATTTGTCAGGTGCGAGGACTGGACTGAGTGCAGAAGCAGGCAATGCCCAAAGAAAAACTTTGACAGACCTCAGAAATCCTGGAGAAATATTGCTCAAGACCACCTAAAAATAGAGGTAACTCCGTGGAAGGCAGTTATAAAGAAATGAAGGTTGCTCAAGACTTTTGCACAGTGCACTATATATTGGGGATGATTTTCAGTAAATGCAATCTTTAACTGCATTTAACAGTAAAAAACTACAGTAAAGAAATTATGTTTTTAAGGCAGCTCGTGCTGATGCTACCTTCATGAAGTTCTTGAATAAAATTTGCTTTTACTTTGCTATTTCACTTATTCCCTTATAAATATTTTTAAATATAACAATCCACATTTTCAAATACTGAAAAGACAATTCACAATATATAGAGTGTTAACTGTAGTTTTAAAACGTGTTGTTATTGCTTTAGTCCATAGCTTCATTGTTTTGCTTTACTCTATAGTACATCTATGGCTTACTCTTACTGTACAGTACTCGCTGTACACTTGCCTTTTCAATACTAACACTCAGGATTATAGAGAAAAGTAAACACGGCGACTCAGAAATGTTGGCATATGTGTTTATTCTGGATGTTTTCCGTGTAGAAGCGGTGTTAGTTCATACTGTTTTACCATCATTTCGTTGGCCAATATTGACATTTCTGGTTTGATGGACGCGTTTCCGGCCTAGCATACTTCATACCAGCGACGTGTGAATAGGGGTGGTCCTCAACTGTCAAGAGGGGAAGGCCTTGCTCAGTCTATTTATTTTTTATTTTTTCGCACCCTCCCACACATTTAACGTCGCCATAATTGTGTTTTATTCGTATAGGTGGACGGGCGGTGTTCATTTTAAGCTTTTTGGTGTCGACTGAAACACCGGAACGCCCCCCTCCAGTCGTTTGTCGGTCGTAAAGTCCGAACATCCAGCTGATTGCTTTGAGTGCTGTTCAATTATTCCAGTTCAAACTGAGCCGTTTCCTTTGACTTAACGGAAGGCTTTTTGTGGCTGAAGCGAGTTTGCCGACGCGATATTTATTTATTTTTTACCCATATGTGGACTTTCGGAGGAATTGGACAGCTATCGTTTTGTGTAATTTGAGCGTTGAAGGCTTTTTCTCATTGAACGACCAGGCCCCGGACTCATCCCCAGCCTCGCGTTTCCTTATCGGCTTTTTGTGTGTGCGTGTGTGTGGGTGCGCGCGCGTGTGGGTGCCTGTGTTTGTGTGTGTGTGTGTGTTGGAAGTCATGGGAGACACTAGTGAACGAAGCAAACCTCCGACTCTACCTCCCAGGTGTCCCTGCGGATTTTGGGGGTAAGTGTTAAACCTGATAGAAACCGGATTAAACCCGCTATCTTGAACTGAAAAGTAAATCCGGATGAAATGTGCTAAACGGGTTCAACTAGTCCAAACCCATTGTTGTTGTTCTGTTGTACAGGCCGAGGGTGGGGGGTTGGGAAGTTGGCTAATAAATAACCTCCTAGCTTGAAAACTAGCTTAATTTACCCCCTTTTTAGAGCTCTCACACTCTTTGTCGTCTCCTGTAGTGCCGGTTGTTATTTTCCGACCGTGCTTTACCGTTTTTAGGGCTATTTTTGAAGCCAGGAGATGACGTACCCGACATAGAAAATGATTTATTGCCAGCAGGTTCCTTTTAAACCTGCCCTGTTTTCGTCTACGATCTCAAAGGAAAGCTGTATTTAAATATTTAACACGGTACTTTTCTTAAACCTTAAGATTTAAATGTGTTGTTAAACTTATTTTGTCGTTTATTTTACGCCCCTCTTTACATTCGCTCTTGTCAAGAGGTGGATGTGTGTTGCATACCGGATGTGATTCACTGATCTCGCCTGTGTTACCCCATAGGAAAAATGACTAACCTTTTTAAATGTATTTAGTAGTAACCATAAGAAGTGACTGCTTATTTCTCATTAAACGCATGTAATTCATTCTACCACATGACGGAAATAAAGTATGACTAGATTACTGCAATCTCATCAGTGGGAACCATAAAGCCCCCCCCTACATTACAGAAGTATTGATAATTTCTTGTTCCTGTCTTCACTTGCTTTGAGGCAAATATCAATACAGAACATAGTCTTATGAATTGACATTTGATAACCAGCCCATCTTCCCCAGCTGCTTCGTTTTCTGCTGTCCAGAAAGCAAACTGGAGGTGGCAGTAACCCACCTGTCAATGTCAGGTGACATGAATGGCAGCGTTGTGTGATTATGG